CGTTATATGCAGGTATTGATCTGATAAAATGAAACCTATTGATCTGTACAACCATAACGAGTGAAAAAAGTGTTGAAATATGCCATGCTCTGCTAAATGAGGACTGTATTACAAATTGTATTAAGTCAATATAAATAATTTTAGACACTATCATATCACAACACCTACAATACTTTGAACTAGTGAAAACAGTAATACACTACTAATATGCCCTCACATTTGTGTAGAAAATTAAATTCTATTGTAAAGTATGTTAGTAATAATGAAATAAAATGCTTTTTAAATTCACTGAAAGTTTTTTCCTTAAATTAAGTTTGGTATAATAAACCAAATATCATACTATTGATTTTCAGCTAAATGCTAATTTCTTTCTGCAAACAAGATTTGAAACTTTTCATATGCTTAAATTCTCCAGGATAATCAGTGCTCTTTCTAAAACAGTTTACACATACATATTTCTGTCTCTTAATTTTAAAATCACAGTTTTATTCTCAGAGTTCTTTCACAGAGATTTACCAATTTCTTTCTATAGGTTTTCTAAAGAAATTTTCTTTCCTGGCTGTAAATATTCCCGACTGAGGGAGTTCAAGAATGCAGATATGTATTCTAAGAATCTGTTTCAACTATATAAAATGATATTAATATTCTGAATCAATATTCAACTGTACAAAGGAAATGCCACAACAAAATGTAGTATTTAAAAATCTATGCTTTCAGAAAGCCATTCAAATTATCGTCTTTTGGGTCTTACTCATATGTCATACTCATCTTCAAAATTATGTGGATGTATCCTCAAAAGACATTTCTAAAAAATCAAGCAAATAGGTACTCCAGCAGAATGATACTGAAGAGGGAGGACAGAATGAATCCTGGCATCCTCCTCACATCATTGCGATTAAAAGGCTGTAACCCTGGAAATGTTCTCTGACACTCCTGGCCAAAATCCAAGCTATGAAAGTTCAGTATTCTTCCAAAATGTGCTGCCACTGTTTTTAGATTGCATGAGAAATGCCAAGCGCACTGATTTCGTATTGGTTTCTCTAGTACAAACATGGCACACATACCAATACATGTCAAGAACTTTCAGCAAAATTTTGTAGCACCACTTTACTTCCTTGGAATGCAAATCACACTCTATCATCTACAAGGCAACAGAATTTGAAAAAAAATTTGGCCAAAGAATTACAATTTGCAGCTGAATTCTCCCTACAAGAAGTAAAGATCACAAAGTGAAGGAAAGAGGGAAGAAATGAGAGGGAACTCACGCAGGCTCACAGGTCCCCCCAAAGTCTCACGGGTTTAGAAGGTGAGGGGATGGAGAGATTACATGCATCAGCTGATGAGCTCACAGTTCATGTGCTGTGAGAGGAGAGGTCTGGGCCGAAGGCAGGTCACTGGGGGTGAGACCTGGAAAGGTGTCTAATTCAGTAATTTCGAGGAAAAGACAACTGAAGAAATCATTGCATTTATATTACCAAGAGGCAAGCAAATTATGACAGGATGACAAAAATGAGGAAAGTAATAATAATAATAATATCTTATCTCGCCTTTGTTCTTCGCCAAGCAAGGCTTGAAGTTCCTTAGATATCCTGGTTGAACATGATAATTTGTGCAGTAGTTACTATGAACATTCCCCTATGACTGGAGATGAGGAAACAGACCAGGAGGGTGAGCCATTTTTCTAGGGTTAGCTAGCGCGAGGCGGTGGAGCCACACGTGGATCCTCTGTGATCTAACTATACTCACCACGCTCTTAGATTCTAGGCTAGCAGAACTAACAAGGCTGCCTATTTCGCTCACAAGGTCACCAACCATGTGGTGTCTATATTATTATATTACTACCAAGACTCTTCACATGTGCAAGAGATCTTCTGAATAGTGATTTAGCCAATCTGCTTTAGCAACGACTGCAGCTAAATTTGTTTTGCTTGTTATTTAAGCTTAGCTAGGTGGCATTTCAGTAAAGTACAACTTATTTAATAAGTCCATATCAATGGTTAATCCTATGTTTCTTTATAAACTAACCTTAACCCTAACCCTAACTGACTCAAAATTAGAAGCAAAATATAGAGTTGGCCTAGCCAGCCTTTTTTTTTTTTTTTTTTTTTTTTTTTGTCTTTTTCGTTTTTATCGGTACCAGGGATCGAACTCACGACTGCCTGCTTACAAGGCAGGCACTTATGCCGCTGAGCTAAATCCCCAGCCCCCTAGCCAGCCTTTTTGATTAAGATTTACTGATAGTTGTCCTGTAAAATATTAAATCAGATTCCTTTACCTGTGTTTAATGGGAACATACATTTACAGAGCCGGAAAACCATTACATTTACAGTATTTGATTTAAAAATGAACAATCAGCATTTCTAATACACACATATTTATAAATGATCAGAAATAAATCTTTTAATCCTCATCAGTCATCCCATTTTTAAAAATTTTTTTTTTTCTTTTTTGAGAGTTGGGAATGACAAGGAAACATCTGTAGGGTACAAACAGTATTCCTACTTTGGGAAACTAACGATTTATTCCTGTGCAAAACAAAAGAGGAAAAAAAAACCCTGACTTTCATAATCTTCCAGAAAAAATAAAGTAGTTGTTTATAAAAGAAATAATTCACTTTAATTAAAATTTGATAAGTTAGCTGCTAGTGATACTTTTAACTTGGGGAAGAAGAAAGGAAAAGTTTTTGATTATTCCATTGCGTTTTTGTTATTATTTCCCCTCAAGATGAAGATTTTAAAGAGAGATTGCAGAATATCAAGATTTTTAAGAGAGACTGCAGAATATACAGACCATCCACTAAAAGTGCAAAATAAGGAAGACAGCAAGTATCTTATTCTTCTTCTCTTTTCTTTGGCTTTCATGCATATTTACCTATTGGATAATTTTAAGTGTGTTTATCATCAGCAAAATTTGTTTTTTTAAAATTTTATTTAAAAGGAAAAAGAGAAAAAACAAAACAAAACAAAGCAGTGTAAGGGTACAATTAATACAGAACTACCAAAAAAAAAAAAAAAGTAAGAAATCACCAGTTAGTAGATTACATTTTATCATCTTAGAGATAGTTGCTCAAATCACAGTATCAAAGCATACAAAGTGGACATTCAAACAGTGAGACTGCAAACAGTTGTGCTCAATGATCCAACCAAAAACATTAATATGGTCAGCTATTTAACATCCCTAAACACACTTGCTGTTGTATCCTTTAGAGCTCTTTTTTCCCTCTCTTTTTTACAACAAAATTTACACATTTTGGGTTTTATTACTCCTTAGTTCTTATTACTTTTTTTGGGGGGAGAGAATAAAGTCAAATATGGCAAAATAAAGCTGTCAGTCAAAACCAAGGATAGACATAGCACATGATGTAGAACAGAGTACAAGGTTATCAACAATGGTTATCAACAATGTCTCTTGTTTCCTTAAAAAGAATTGTCTATCTCATTAGATATTATAAAGCTGAACAAAACAGTAGAGAACAAGACCAATAAAACTTAAGCATTGTAAACATTACAGGATTTCCAAAGGAGACAATAGTCAAACCAGAATGGGCGTCTTAGTGAATCTTATTGCCTTCAAAGTAGTTGCCTATACCCTCAAACTTGATACTATCATACAGAATGGAACAGGGTCTAATCAGTCAAAACAAGATAGTGGGAGTATTATAGGACTTCAAAACAAGTTAATAGGAAATAAAAAAAAGTTACTATTATATATCCTGCTAATATTTTTTAATTTTTCCCCTTAATTAAAAAAAACCATAAAAGATAACTAAATAATTTTTTTAATGAATAAGGGATTGAGATAAAACAGGACATAACAATATAACAATATAGGTCAAAGCATGACTGTTTCAGCAACCTAGTGCTTCACCACCAAATAACCCGACTTAGTAGTTACCATAGTGTCTATCTTTTTCCTTGAAATATTTGAATAAAACTTCATATACTATAGCTTCCAATATTTCCATATCAAGAAGCCCAGAATAAAGCCTTTCCAATTAATAAGTGAAAACTTTATAAGGCTTCAAAGCCACATAATGGGGAATCATGATTACCACATATTTTTATATATTTGAATCATTACTTACATTAGGGAAACTATTCAGCATTCATACATGCCAGATTGATTTATTTCACTTATGAGTATGGTCTCAAGCTGCGCCTATTTATTGATAAATATCTCAATGTGATCCTTCTTTATAGCTGAATAATACTCCATTGTATAGAAATACCACAACATCATCAGCAAAATTTGTGCTTGCCTAAAAATATGTGGGATAGCATCAGAATGGGCAGAAAGGACAGGGCCAATAAAATATTGTGAAAAAAAACTTTTTCTGCCTAAAACAATTTTAGTTGTTGCCAAAGCAAAGGGTTTTTCCCCTTTGACAGATTTAGTACATCCCAGACAGTCACAATAACTTCATCTTTTGTACCATAGGATCCAGTGTGGTTGCCCCCCCCCCACTTCTACTTTACACCTATAAGCCCTAGCTTTGCAGACTCTTCACATGTGCATGTCCTATCCAGCTTAACTTAGTACACTGTTGTGTGTGACACAGAAATTCCCTGAGTGGTTTAGAGCTCCTAAGAGGCCAGGGCTTCCACTTCTCAAACTGTCGCTGTTAGAAAGCTGCTGCGCTCGGAGGGAGCAAAGTTCCAGGTGGATCTCCTTTTTCCCATAAACATACGGTCTCCAACACCTTCCCAGCAGCTGCATTTACTCCCCACAAGCTCCAGATAGAGCTCTGTCCTAAGCTAAGCGAGAGGGTGAGCACCAGCACTTCCCCGACTTTTACCCTTCTCCTGGCATCACTATGTTTAAAGTAAACTGCAGTGTGCTGCTGTGCCCCAGCTGGGCCAGTGCAGGAGGCCACGTGCAAGGGGCAGAGTGCAGAGAGGGGTGACCAGGTCCCAGCGGGAGAGATGCCCAAGGCCTGCATGATTGCTTTTGCAGTTTTTAGTCAGATTACATCTAGCGATGCCATTTACTTAGACCTTTACCTGGTAAATCAGAGAAGAGAAGAATGCACTCGTTAAAGCCATTAGCCAAAAGACGGTCCCGCAACTGCTGGAGGATTGCTACTCCGATACAGAATGGGAAAGAGGAATTCCCAAGCAGTAAGGTGTCCCAGAGGTGGAATATTTTGTGCAATGGAAATACATCTGTAGAATAATTTTTAAAAATTAATTCACTAAAATTAAAAAGAAAACAAAAAACTAAATGTGCTTTACTCAAAACATGACTATTAATTTATGGCCTGTTTTTTAAAAGCTAACACTACCTACAGCACTGTGGCTTGTGCCTGCAATCCCACAGTCAGAAGCCTGAGGCAGGAGGACTGCAATTCTGAGGCCAGGTTGGGCAACACAGAACCTGTCCATTCATAAGCAAATAAATAGTTAATACTTTCAAACTTCAAAAATGCTTATTTGGCTTTATAAGTTGTAACTTTCAAAGGCTCTTAAAAGTTGGTAAAGATTACAGCTGCATGGAAAGATATTTTCTAACTTCTATGATCAATAGAAGTTTGTCCCATTCATAAAATATTTTTCCCAGAATTTTTGAGTTATATTATTTGCATAAATTTATTTATATAGGTAAACTTTTAACAGTAAGGTTACATTTTCATTTTGCATAACTGCTTTTTAATAAATTTAATAACTGCCACCAAAAATTCTATGAATAATTTTTCTTTTTTAATAATATTGTGTATATCATTTCAGGGAATGTCTACAAATCTATTTCATAATATTATTTCATTATAGTCCATTATATGTAAATAAGGATACATACTCTATTAATATTCTAACATATTCCACAGTTACATAATCTGCTTAATTTCTAGAGGAACACTAATTTTAAAAAATAGAATTATTTTTAGAGGATTTCCCTAGAAACTAAGGCTGATTTGGTTTCAAAACTGGTTTCATAGAGCTCATGTAAGGACTATAGTTTGTTAAATTCTCTTTCCAGAATTGGGAAAAGCTTGTATGAACATCAACATGTAAAACAGACTGTCATCCTATACAGTTCCGTTTGTAATATTCAAGGAACAGAACAACTCAAATTCTTTTCTACCCAAGTCTATCGTAACAGAATTACATAAGGATGCACATTAAATCTTAATATTATTGTAAAATAATATAAAATGCTAGGGAAGCGTGGAGCTGTGTTTTAGCTGATAAGATACTAAAAAAGGAAAGGGATAATGATACTTACGAGTAAACATGGTGAGAAACCAAGGGATGGCATACAGCTATGAGTAGAAAAAATACAGGGAAAAAATAGAGAAAATAAAAGATACAATTAGAATGATCACCATTATTGGCTTAAAAAACTCTATTCATTAAAATAAAAGCAATGTAATTACCTGTCACAAATATTTTATTATACAATGATATTTATCTATATTACAAATGCAGATGACCTTTTTGCCAGGAATTATGCACAGAGCATCTTCATTTCATTAAAGGGTATATTCAAGCCATTCTAATTCAAATGTAATGCTAGTATGCTAGTGTTAAGGGTGTACTTTCCAGTTGTACAAAAAATAGTGCGAGATTTTAAAAGGCCTTTTGGCAGTTCATCTTAGGTGTCAAACTGACTGGATTGCAGAGCACTCAGACATCTGATTAGCACTGGTCTTGGGTGTGTGTGAGGGTGTCTGCGGGCGAGCTCAGCATGTGCGGCAGTGGACTAAGCAGAGTGTCCTCCCCAGTAGAGAGGCAGCGTCCAGTCCATCTCGGTCTGGAAGAGAACGAAGCCAAGGAAGGGATCCTTTCCCACCCGCGGCTCGAGCCAGAGTCTCCTTTCGTCTTCCATTACCCTAGGACTGGGACTATCATTAGCAAGTTTAAAATAATCATTTCCTGAAAAAGTACTTATTTCATTTTGCTTTGTTAATCAATACAAGCCACTATTAAACAAAGACTTGTGTTACTACAGAGCTTACCTAAATGTGCTTTTTGGTTCCTCTTGATCATAAATTTATGAGCAGAGTTGCATACTTTCTTTACACTGCTCACTGCACACAGGAGTACCTATGCTCTCAAATGCCAGTCAAAACTATACGATTACCAGCTCACTTAAACACACGTGCTACTGGCAGAAAAAGCCCACTGACCAGTTAGATAGGTTGATATGCTGACAGTTCTAGAAACATTACCAATAGGAACATAGAAGAGTATCAAAATATGTGATTGCGGGGCTGGGGATTTAGCTCAGCGGCATAAGCGCCTGCCTTGCAAGCAGGCAGTCGTGAGTTCAATCCCTAGTACCGATAAAAACGAAAAAGACAAAAAAAAAAAAAATGTGATTGCACAGTAATGAGTAAGGGTTGTAAAAAACAATAAAACATAACAAAATGTGACTTCTGTACCCTAATTTAAGCATAAAAAATTAGAAGAGATTGGTTTCAACAGTATTAGTCCACCTTTGGATTATGATATCTTTTTGATGAAAGGCAATTGTTTGTCATTGAGAACCATTCCTGGGTTATTTTAGCAACTCCTCAACATTACATTTTACTCCACTTTATTCTCTGTAATTATTAACCTTAATACTTATGAAGATCTAAGAGGAATCTTGTTTCTAAGACAATAGGATAATAGAAACCAAGTCTACCCACCCACCCAGACATATACAAATCAGACAGATACATAGAATAACTTGCTCACTTAGGATGGGAGACAGAACACGGTGTACTGCCTGAGAGGAGGAATTGGTGATGCGAAATCTGTGACTGCCTAGCTTACTCCAAACCACTGACAAGAAGGAAGGACCTCCCGAGAGCCTGGTGGCCATCCTGTGCTGAGGCAGCAGAGCAGGGAGTCAGGGGAGGCCGGGGGGCCTGGACTTGTCATGGTGGACAGGAGACCTGTGGAGGAGAAGCTCCAGAGACCTGCAGAAGGTTCCCTCAAGTCACTGCTAAAAAAGGAAGAGGACGTGCCTGTGTAAGGAAACCACACCAAGTGGGGAAGGGGCCTTCTACAGTGGCAAGGGGCAAAAACTGTCAGGCTCATACGATAGGAAAGACAGCTCACCTTACACCAGCCAGACTAAGAAAAACAAAACTGCAAGCAACAAGGCCCTGGGGTGAGTGCTCAGAAAGTACTGTCGCGGTGACAGGAAGAAACTGCTCCTGAATTATGCTACTCTGATCCCATTTAATACATTTTAGTAGGAAGCCTTGAAAGGATCAAACCTTTCGGATGTCACTGTATTGCACCCAAGATACTAATCATGCTCACTCCAAGGCTGCCTCTCCTATTACCACCACTGTTCATCACTTAGGTTCAAGAGTTTCAATTTTAAAATATTTCCTGTCAAACCTCATAGATGTTACTCTATTTCTACAAGATCTCCTCAGTTTTTGTTTCCACTCATTCATATCAAACCAACTTTGCTTTTGCTTCTCACTCCTTAGTTGCTCTTGCTTTCAGTATTTATCTGCTCCAGTATTTCCTTCAGCCCAACTGATCTTACTAGAACTGTGATCATCATTTCCCTTCCCACTACAACCGTGCTTTCCTATGCCACGCCAAATCCAGAGTATGAACCACTTACTTATTCTAATACTTAATATTATGAATTAGCAAAGGGAATGAAGAACTTGTCGTCAGAAAACAAACAATGGAGTTTCAACTCTGACAATCATCAACTCCATGCAAGGCAAGTCCGTTAACATCTGTGAATCCCCAATTCTTTAGTTTTGAAATAGAACAATTATTTTAGCCATGTCACATTAGTGCTGTAAGTAGCTGAATAAAAGATATAGGAAAGTGCTTGGTAAACAACACTCTGCAGATTTCAAGTAGTATTATTACTACTGACATTAGAAATAAAGCACCAGGCTATACTTCTATCTCATTTACAGATTCTATCTCCCACCAATTGACTATGAGCTGAACCTATGATCTCATCAGTGTGCTTTGCTTTTTCTTTTGTAATGTTCTCTCATGTCATTTCCCTGAACCAAAGTCCTCTAAGTTTTGTTAAGGCTTGTCTCAAGTTCTACTCCTGAAAACTTTTATATGTTCTTATACCCACCTCACTACGCCTTGTGCAATGGGTTGTTTCTGGATGTCCCCCAAAGCCTCATGCAGCCATGGGTGGGGCCTTTCAGAGGTGGCTGGAACTCAGCTGTGTGATGCTGGCATTAAAGGGGTGTGACTTCTAAGTTAGTCCACCAGTTGATGCAGCACAGTCCTGTATGTGGATAACGGGAAGGTCCACCCTGGGTGTGGGTGGCACCATCCAAAAGGCAAGGACCTTGGAAGGGATACAGGGGACAGGTGGCTGCTACCGCTTCCCTGCTTTGCTGCTTTCTGCCTGCCCTGCCATGAACTTTGTCCCTGCAGTGCCCCTCTGCCGTGCACCTTCCTTGGAGCCAGCTGACTATGGACTGAAACTCCTACAAACTGAGCTAAAATAAACCTTTCCTCTTTTAACTTGTGCATGGTAGGTATTTTGTCCCAGCAATGAAAAAAGTACCATTTGCTCTATGAAAACTTCTACACATTTCTTATACCTACCTCACCGTGCCTTGTATCATGCCATATATGATAATTGTGTTTGTACAACTACAGTGAACTTGCCGTGTTATAATTATCTATTGTACCATGTTTTGTATTATATAATGAATTCTAGTTATGTTCACTCACTCACGCATGCTTCTACTCATTCACTTATCATTGACTCAACGTGACATTCTTCCTGCCATGTGCCATGTCTCTCTGCAGCAGATGAGTCACCCATGTGAACATACTGAAAATGCTTGACATTTGTTAAAGAGCTACAACACAGTGGTCCTGCACAGGGCCGTGGCTATCACAGGAGCTTTTGTCCTCTGTTCTGCTCTCTGCTGGAAGGTAAGATTTGTGTAGGTAAAGGTTATTCACTCCTATATTCTTTATACATCCTCGACACTTCCTGCCAGCACTATGGTAGATGACGGGCCATGGCTGTGAACGAAGCACTCAGAGCTGGTAAGAACAGCTCTGCTCCTTAAATATTCACTCCATCCACTCCAGCTGGGGCTTTGCCTCTGCCCACCAGTGACACTGCTCCTGCTCATCTGCAGTGTCCACACCGCTAATCTTTTCTTCACCAATCAGCAGAACTGAACAAAGCTGACCACTCCCAGTCCTGAAAATTCTTTTTCTCCACTTGGCTTCTAAAGCGCCACACTGCCCAGCTTTCTTCTCACCGTTCTGACTTCCCTTTAGCCATCTCCTTTGTACGCTCATCTTTATCCTCTGCCGCTTTAACACTGCAGTGTCCCGGGCTCTGCTTCTGGCTCTATTCACTTTTCTATTTTTCACCAAATAGTAACTGTAGTTTGAAAGCTCCTGTATTTACAGCTCATTCTCCACGTCTCTCCTGTGAATTGTGAAGCTGTATGTCCAAATACCTGTTTGGTGTTTCTATGTCTGCCAGACACAGACAGAAACACACACACACACACACACACACACACACAGAAACTGAGCTCCTGAGACCCCCTTCAATATCTGTTCTTCCTGAAGACAGACTTCCTTCAAAATCTGTGCCAAGCACATACGTAAATCTCAGTTAAGAGCAATGTTATCCTTTGACTTCTTCATATAAAAAAATTAACTCATTTTTGATGTCTAACTTCCGACACACTGTACATTTGTCACCAGCAGTCCTATCACCAAAGAAACTTCTCAGTACACTCACTGATAATATCTGAATTCCAGCCACCATCATTTCTTACAATCGCCCATGATGACCAGCCTCGTCTGTCCTTGGACTCCTCCCAGCTTAGCAGAATAATCTTATTAAATGTTAGATCAGCTGTCATTGGTCTACTCAAGAACCGATATCTAGTGGTTCTTTGCCAAACGAAAGCCAAAGTCCCAGCAATATGACCTCAGCACTAAGTGTAACCCAGCCCTCCACTGCCCACTCGTCCTCTTCTTGTCCACTGTGTCCTCGACCCAATGGCCTCCTGGTGTCCTTGCAGCATCTCTGCTGTGCTTCCACAAACCTCAGGCCTTTGCTATGACTTTGCTGCTGGAACCAGTCTTTTTCTTCTCTCTTCAAGGCATTTATTCAAGGAACCTTGCCTATGGGGCTTTCTTGAGAATCTTGTTTCAAACTCAGTTCTTTCTTCATCTAAGCACTTAACATCCACTGGCCTTCTTAGATGTTTTCCTCCTAGAACTTAACACTACCTAAAATATGACTTTGCATAGTTACTTATTTTCTTTATTCTCTATCCCCATTAGAATA